CGTCAGGTTACTGTAGCTCCGTCAGGTACTGTAGCTCCGTCAAGGTACTGTAGCTCCGTCAGGTTACTGCAGCTCCGTCAGGTTGCTGCAGCTCCGTCAGGTTGCTGCAGCTGCGTCAGGTTGCTGCAGGTCCGTCAGGTTACTGCAGCTCCGTCAGGTTGCTACCACGTCGTCAATTCTGTGGTCGCGCTGTGCTGCTCATGTGCTCCTTCCTGCTATGCGCTTGGTATGTGCCATGCTCGTGATGTGCCATGCATGCATGCATGCATGCGCCCATGGCAGGAGGAGCAGCGCAAGGGGGCGATAGGGGAGGCCCTGACGCATTTGTCGGTGCTCTTAGCCAATGCTGTGCTCCTCTTGTGCTGCTTGCGGTGTGCTGTTTCCGGTGTGTATTTCTTGGTATACACGTGGGATGGCACGAGGCACTGACGCACTTCGCAGTGCTCTCGGCCAATGCCATGGCGACAGGTGTCACCACGACACGCTGCGCCTGCACCTCATGAAGGTCCGTGCCCTATAGTTACATGTCTGCCTGCGTTATCGTCATACTTCCCGGCAGCTCTGATGTGACCTCCCTGCCCTGTGTTGTTGTCATACTTCACTGCATGCCTGCGTTGTTGTCACATCCCTGCATTGCATTGTCACGCACGACCCCCGCCTCTCCTCCTCGCCTTCGTTGTTGTCCCATCCCTGCCTGCTTCTCCATTCACCCCGCCCGACCTGCACTGCCTGCGTTGTTGTCACTGCGTTGTTGCTGTCACCCCGACCTTCTTCACTACATCGTGACACACGACACCCGTAGTGAAGGAGGTCGGGGAAGGGCACGACACCCGTAGTGAAGGAGGTCGGGGAAGGGCACGACACCCGCCTCTCCTCCTCGCCTCTCGATTCAACTTCCCCTCCTTCCTCTTCCCCCTCGCTTTCCCCCCGTTTTCTCCCCCCCGGTCCTGTTCCCCCTCTGCCACCAGACGTATTCATAAGTTCGGGACTTCTGGTTGACAGAGGGGGATGTTAACCTATCCGCACCGCCCACCATCTATCCCGACCTGCTTCACTACATTGTCCCCGCCTCTCCCCCTCCCCCTCCACCCGCCCCTCCACCTCCTTCCCCCCCAACCCCTCCTCCTCCTCCTCCCCCCTAACACTCCCCACCTCACTCCCTCACTATCGCTCGCTGGCGGTTGGGCGGACAAGGGGGAGGATGGGGGGAGAGGAGGGGGGAGTGGAAGGGGAGGGAGGAAAGGAAGAGGAGAAGGGAGGAGGGAAACGGGAGGAGGGAGGGAGTGCTCCCCTTCTCTGCATTTCCGAATATCACATGAGGCACCGGGAGCGAGGGAGTGCTCCCCTTTGGCTGTCACATATACACACACCCCTCTCCACCCCTCGCCACCCCACCAACCTCTATCCATCCCCTTGTCACCGACCTCTCCCCTTGTCTGTTCCTCAGCTGGTGGACGATATGGGACCCGCATGTAGTCAGCAAACTCGGACTGTGGATTTGCTGCGGGAGTGTGCAGATGAACTGTGGGTTGCAGCGGTTAAACCGATCCTGGAGTTGACTTCAACTCGACCGGGACGTGTGCTGGGTGTTGCAGCGGTGAAACCCGTCGTCAAGAAAGCTTGAATCGACCTGGTGAGCACAAGGCGAGTTCCAGCCATGAAGCGGAGGGACGGACACGAGGAGCACAACTGCCTCGACAATGCCGGCTCGAAGGTGAGAGAAAGGGGTGTGTGCCTTGCTTCTATGGAAATACACTGCAGCCTTGAAGAGTGTTATTGGCGGTGACGAAACCCGATGGGACGGACTGGGAGTCACTTGTGAGAATTCTCAAAACGGGGAAAAGGCTCTGGCTGGATGGGTGAGGCTGTCTGAGCGTGACAGGGGCATTGCGGCGTGGCGGCAGCTGCTGCGGGCTTTGCTCGATTGGCGCACGGAAATCATCGAGTGCGTCGAGAGTGGGAAATGGGAGTGCTTTATCCCTCAAGCCCGCATGCCCTTGTCAGTTTCTTTTTTCTCGCCTCACCTCTCTCTCGTCTCTGATCGAAGAACTGCTAACGCAGGGCGGAAGTAGCATTGGGGAGTTGCTTGGAGCGGGCCCCAGGCAAGGAGTAATCTCTCTCGGTCGGGTCAATGAGAGAGATTCCTGAAACTCGAATTCAGTTTTTTTAGTTCCACCAGAAGTGCGAGCAGTTGATATGTACTGAATAAAAGTATGTAGCATAACTTGTCAACCCCTTCAAATGCAGCAGAACGGATGTGTTACAGTAACCATCTTGCCTCTATTCCCATCATAAAATTCGACACTCATGCTGGACTGAACATTGTGGGCACACGAAGTTTACATAACTGCATCTCTTCCACCTCATATCAAATTTAAAGTCATCCTCATTAGCTCATCAAATATTTTCCTCTCATTCCTGCTTCAACTTCCCATCCATTCTGTCCTCAATTGCTCTGGCTGACGAGCCACTATGAGCGAATGGAGCTCTCATGGATACATCATCTTCCCAGAATCATTCGCCTGATGAAACGCGGGGCATGTGATTTGGGCCAGCAACTTCACCAACACCCACAATAACTTGATGCGAATTTCACAAATTTGGCAGAGATTGCCAATATTCAATTCGGATGAATCTTAATATTTGGTAAATTTGCAGACATGAAACTCATGCTAGTGCTCAAGCAATATGTGGAAGATATATGGTAGAAGAATTAACACTTAAGGTGTATTGATTTATGTGAACCCACGAAGTAAGCTACCATGCCGTCATACAATTATATCATACGACATTGGGGTCGAATACTTAGGGCGCGTAACTTTTTGCCTTTTTGGTATCAAAATTTCGTCAAAACCCGCATGATCTGCAATTCGATAACGAGCTTGGACGGTCGGGACCGTGAGCGGGATACCCTTTTCGCACCCGGTCTGGACGGAAAAAGTTACGCGCCCTTAGGGGCATATGGGATTTAGGGTGGGGCGCTTGATTTTCCCCCTCGACATAGCACAACCTCCCCACACTGTGTTCCACAGAACCACCCCTCCCCGTGGACGTCGGTGGTGAGTGACCCTGCTCGCGATGCCGTGCATCAACGGTTCTCCCTCCTCAGTTCCCAAATTCAACCCCCCCCTGACCAGTTCCTGCCATGCACCGTTTTCATGATAGGATTTGGTGTGAGAGAAAAATACTAGTCGTTGAGGAAATACGCTGTATTATATATATGGTTCTTCTCTTCGAAACGGGTTGAGACTTTCTTGTTCTTATTTTTGCGCGCGGGCAATAGGAAAAGTTTCCGGCACTACAGAACCAAGGTGCACCGCCGAAATTGTGTTTCAGCGCGCCTTGACGTGTGGGAACGAAACTGCCAAATGAAACGCGTTATTTCCCGCTTACCTCGTGGCCTGACGAGTCACCCACACACCAGAGCAGAGCAGGAACCGTTGACTGTACTTGTTTCAACAACTCCTCCGCACAACTGGCCGGGCCGGGGCATCCAAACAACCACCTCGTCCGCGCCACATCATGCGCACCCCGCGTCCGTCGGTTCCGCGATGTCAAGATAGCTGGTTTTGACCCGCGCACCTCCCGCCGTGTAAATCCGCTCGTCCTCCCCATTTTCCAAACGTGCACCCGCACCAGAACCCGAACCTGCGGACAAACCTTGCCATCCGAAGCAAGCTTCCGCCTTACCTGACTTTTCCCCTTCCCTCTTGGCCTCTACACTGCGCAAGCGGGGGTGGCAGCAGGGGAGTTCCTATCCGCAACACCCCTCAGTCTCCCGCCAAATCTGCTCCGGAAATTAAAACACAAACCCCAGCTGTGGAACATTCTGCTGTCGGGATGACGAACCTCGACTCAACACTCCCAAGCTTGTCGGTAGTCTAGGCTTGGAATCTCATTGCTGTACATACCTCAAGACAGTCGATACCCTTGGGAATCCCAAGTCGGGAATACTCCAGCTAACGCGGTGACTCGCATGCTCGCAGCACCCATTATCTACGTTCTCATATCACAAGGAACCTAGAAGCTCACGCAAGACCAGCGAGCTAGGCGATATAAGAGCCAGACAACACTTGATGACGGACGCAGTACCTTATCTACTCGCAGATTTGTCAGACCTCAGCGTTAGTTATTAAGTTGCTGTCGTAGTAGAACCCGTCTAGGTCGCGCATTCCTGGTACAAACTGCTGCGTTTCCAAGTATTCGGCCTCCGTCTATATTGGTCCGTTGATACACCCAACAGGATTGAAAAGAGTTTTCCCAGCAGCGGGGAAGGCGGAGCTTCTTAGAGCAGGTAAATGGCCAAGAAGGGCATGTATTCGCCTGCAGTGTGCCTCTCCTTCGTCCCGCATAACGTCGCTAGGCCAGCTCAAGCCTCTGCCAGCGCTTCTCGGCATGTTTACCATTTCTATGTCATTTTCAAAGCTAAAGCTTTTCCGTTCCCAGGCGCCTCGAATCCATACTATGTTTCTCTTTGGAGACCTAAAAGTTGCGAATTCGCTTAGTATTTCAAGCTTTTCGCAGCAGCAGCGCACTCATAGCACGTCCATTTGTTTAATATGTTACGGGCAGGGCAACCGTAATGGCCAAGTTGCTTGCTGGTCGCGAGGCTGAAGCACCGAGCCTTAGACATCGGATGTCTCAACTTCTTCCTTTCCATCCCTCTCGTTTCTCTCTCACCGAACGCTGAGTGCACTTCTCGTGTATGCTAAATGGGTGCTAGCAAGCACAGGCTTATTCTTCTCTTCGCCTTCTTACCCCTCCGTCCCGTTTCCGCATTTTTCCTTGCTCTTTCGTCGCCGTATCATTACCCCTTCCTGCCCGTCACTAGGTTGACTAGCAGCCGCCGCCTGTGCGTTTCGCCAGCACCAATGAAACCACGGCTGGAGCAGCGGCAGCCGGAGCTGCAGCCTCGGAGGCATACCTACTCGTCCTCTTCGTGCCCCTCCGCCTCCGCCTCCTCTTCCTCCTCATCTTCGCCCCATCCCTCCGAAGCGCGAATGGGGTTCTCATCCGCGTTATTAGCGCGTTCAGTGCAGCAACAAAAAGCAGAGAGGGGAAACAGCCAGTGTAGGTTGGCAGCAGCGCAGCGGCAAGGAGAGTCGCACGAGCGCCTTCAGGAGCAAGGGCAGGAGCGGGGCTCGCAACGAGAGCCCGTGCGACGGCAAGCGTGGGCGGGCTGGCGACGATTCCAACAGTCGTCATCGTCGTCGCCAGCGTCGTCGTCGTCGCGGCCGTTCGCACTCCTGATTTCTCTTGTTGTGGTCGTTGCGTTGCTACATCGAGCGCCCGTGGTCGAATCCGCCGTCTCCGCGCATGGTGAGTTATGGTGGCTTTTGCGTCGACTCGCAAGTCGCCTTGTTTGTGGTCGTTGCGCTGCTACATTGAGCGCGCCCGTGTTCGAATCCCCCGTTTCCGCGCATGGTGAGTCGAGTCCCGGAGGGATGACGGAGAGGGGGCAGTCAGGAACCGAGGAGAGTGAGTTCGAGTTGATAACCTTGAAGTTGCTGGCCTCCTGTAGCTGACTCTGTGGTTGAACCTGTTGTTCCCCCCTGCTATTCACCATGCCGCTTCCCCGCCCCTGCCTACAGATTCATCCTACGAGGTGCAGAAGCTGCTCTCGCTAAAAGGCGTGTTCTCTTAGTACGAGCCGTCCTCGAGCGTAGAGGGCGGGGACCCGTGGAATCAAACATCCCCCCCATCCCCCCACCCCTTCCCCGCCGCTGCCTGCCATTTCAGCCTACGAGGTGCAGAAGCTGCTAGCTCTGAAAGACGCGTTCTCTCAGTACGCGCCAGCAGCGCTGCCGTCCTGGAGCGTGGAGGGCGGAGACCCGTGCAAGAGCCAGTGGAAGGAGGGGAAAATCGCGTGCAACAACGCCGGACGCGTTATCAGACTGTAAGTGAGGGATGCTGTAACGGGGATGCATTGGAAGGAGGTTGTAAAAGGTAACTCTGGGCAGATTGACAGAAGCAGGCATATAGTTTCTTAGATGACTCTAATCCCCCTCCTCTGTCTGTTCTCTCTCCATACTCTGTTCCCGCTTGTGCCGCAGAAACCTGTCAAATCAGAACCTCAAGGGACCGCTGCCAGGCCAGGAGCTAGCCAAGTTGGTGGCGCTGAGAAGACTGTAAGTCTCTCCCTTTTCTTCTCAACTTCTTACTCATCAGCGCCTGCAGAATGTAAGTCTCCCCCCCCTTTTCTCGCCATAAAACTGAAATGAGAACCTCAAGGGACCGCTGCCAGGCCAGGAGCTGGCCAAGTTGGTGGCGCTGAGAAGACTGTAAGTGCCTTCCCCGCTACTCCCATTCGCACCCACTCACCCCCTCTCCCTCAGCACCCACAATGACCCTCTCATTCTCTCCCCCCTCCTTCCCCCTCTTCCCCCCCACCTATTCGGCCAATTCCTCCTTGTCCTTACACACACGCCCGCTCACCCGCATGTGCCTCCTCCGGCCTCCCCACCCCCCTCCATGCACATACACACAGGGACCTCGGTTTCAACAACTTCACGGGGGAGATTCCAATTGAGCTCGCTGACCTCGGCAGCATCACCTACCTGTACGTCCGTCCTTGTGTAGAAACGAAATCTGTTAACATATGTCATTTAACTCTGGTTGTACTCAAGGGTCTGGTCCAATCAGTGTGCTCTATACGTACGTACGTCCTTGTGTAGAAATGAGATCTCGATTGACGTGTAGAAATGAAATGCCGCACTCCACTCCTCTCTCTCCTGCCGCTTCTTTCTGCATCCCTCTGCACCCCTCTCAGGTCGCTGGAGAGGAATCAGATCGAGGGTGCCCTTCCCAAGTGGATAGCTCCGGATTGTTTACAGCAAATGAGAAGGCACCACACCGCCTTTCCCCTCACTCAGCACCGCACTGCACTCCTCTCTCTCTCCCTCTGCTTCTTTCTGCATCCCTCTGCACCCCTCTCAGGTCGCTGGAGAGCAATCAGATCGAGGGTGCCCTTCCCGACTGGATTGGCTCAGAATGGCCCTCGCTGGTGCACCTGTGAGTGTTGGGAGGGGGTGGGGGGGGGGGGGGGGGGGGGAGGGGATGAATAAGGTGTGACATCTCAAAACCCGTTGGAGCACCTCTGAGTTGGGCTCAGAAGGGCTCTGATGTCAGGTTGGGCGTGACATGACATCTTAAAACGGCTCCTTTCTCCCCTGTTGACTTTTGAGTCGACTCAAAAGTCGATATCTGAGAAGGGCTCCGTTCTCCCCTTCTCCCCCCCAACCCCGCGCCTCTTGCTCCTTCCATACCTAATTCCGTAGTCTCCTCCCTTGCCCCTCCCCCGTTTCCCCTTAGTATTTATCCTTATTTAAACAAACCGTATGTATCCTTATCTATCCTTATCTGAACAAACCGTTCGTTGTTTCTGCCCTCACTGTGTGCGGGCCCTCACTTATCCTCGCTGACCCTCCCATCTCTTTCCCCTCTCGGTGTGCGACTTTTGAGACGTCTCAAAAGTCTTCAGCCCTCGCTAACCCTCCCATCCCTTTCCCCTCTCTGTGTGCGTCCAGGAGGCTGGCCAGCAACCAGTTTTCGGGGCAGATTCCGAACGGCTTCGGGCAGCTGAAAAACCTCGTGATGCTGTAAGTGGTCCGGGGCTGCATGTGATTCTAGTTTCTACCCCCTCACACCATCCCTGCCCTTTCACCCCCTCCTTTTCCATACCCCCTCACACCATCCCTGCCCTATCACCCCCTCCTTTTCCATACCCCCTCACACCATCCCTGCCCTTTCACCCCCTCCTTTTCCATACCCCCTTACACCATCCCTGCCCTTTCACCCCCTCCTTTTCCATACCCCCTCACACCATCCCTGCCCTTTCACCCTCCTCCTTTTCCATACCCCCTCACACCATCCCTGCCCTTTCACCCTCCTCCTTTTCCATACCCCCTCACACCATCCCTGCCCTTTCACCCTCCTCCTTTTCCATACCCCCTCACACCATCCCTGCCCTTTCACCCTCCTCCTTTTCCATACCCCCTCCCACCATCCATGCCCTTTCACCCCCCTCCTTTTCCATACCCCCTCCCACCATCCATGCCCTTTCACTCCCCTCCTTTTCCATACCCCCTCCCACCACATGCTCTCTTCCCCCAGAGACCTGGCGTTGAATCAATTCTCGGGCTCCATCCCAACGGACATTCAGCCTTGCTCGCGCCTGGAGCACTTGTCTTTACACCCCTTTCCCACCTCACCTGCTCCCTTCCCACCCATGTGCCCACACCTGTCCATGTCTGTACAGGGATCTGGCGTCGAATCGATTCTCGGGCTCCATCCCAACGAACATTCAGGCTTGCTCGCGCCTGGAGCACTTGTCTTACACCCCTTTCCCTCCTTCCCCTTCCCACATGCTCTCCCCCCCTCAGCGACCTGGCGTCCAATCAGTTCTCGGGCTCCATCCCTACGGACATCCAGGTGTGCTCGCGCCTGGACCAGCTCGCTCTCTCCCCATTCAACCCCTCCCCTTCCACACCCCCTCCCATGCTCTCTCCCCTCAGTGACCTGGCGTCCAACCAGTTCTCGGGCTCCATCCCAACGGACATTCAGGTCTGCTCGCGCCTGGAGCAGCTCTCTCCCTCTTCCACTCACGTCCCTCCCTTTCCATACCCTTTCTTTTCCTCTGTCCACGTGCTCTCTCCCTTTACCCAGGGACCTAGCGTCCAACCAGTTCTCAGGCTCCATCCCTACGGACATTCAGGTGTGCTCGCGCCTGGAGCAGCTGTCGCTTTCTGGAAACTCCCTCTCGGGCCCGCTCCCCACGTGGATCGGCAGCCTTAAGCAGCTGCGCGTGCTGTGAGTGCACCACTGCGTACCTCTCTGTACCACTTTGTTGCACTGAATACCACTGTGTGCCACTGTACACCACTGTACACCTTCTCACTTCTTGAAATGTCTCCCTCAGGTCCTCTCGTCTTCTGGATCGGCGCACTCTGCTCTAACACTCACTCTCCTTTTCCCTGTTGCCTCCTTCGCTCCTGTCCCCTCTGCTTTGCCCTCACCCCGCCCTCCCTCCAGTGAAATGTTCTCAAACAACCTCTCCGGCACCATCCCTCCTATTCTCAGCTCTACTTGTGGTTCCTCGTGGTTCCTCGTGGTTCCTCCCCAACTCATCATAGTTACTTCTGCACTCACTCCCTTCGTCCCTTCTGCCCGCCCTCCCTACAGTGAAATGTTTTCCAACAACCTCTCCGGCACCATCCCTGCCGAAATCGCCCAGGCCACCTCCCTTGAATCCATGTGAGTGCAGCATCCTCATTCATACCTTTATTCATACCTTTTTTCCTAGTCCTAACGAAGCAACCCACCCATACTTAGCTGAAAGTTTCAACGGTGACCACACGGCTTGCTGCGTTTCGAATCCTTCATTACTCCTCGTTATAAGCTCAATCGTGTTTAGCATGCTCTGGACGACAATGACCTTTCAGGCACGCTACCAGTCGCGCTGGGCAACTTGCCCTCCCTAGCTTCGCTCTACATGGCGTCCAACCTGCCTCTTGCCCTGACACCTGTATTGTACCCGAATTTCCCTCCTTGGCTGTGGCCCCTCTCCGCTCCTCTACCAGTGCTCTCGACGACAATGACCTCTCGGGCACGCTACCAGATGCGCTGGGAAATCTCCCATCCCTGGCAGCGCTCTACATGGCGTCCAACCTGCTGGAGGGGCCCATCCCCTACAGCTACCACCGCCTCAATGGGCTCATGTACATGTGAGTTGAGGCAGGTTCAATGCGGTACTCAGGTGTGTGCTGTGGTGCCTGCTTTCAATCTGCCCTCCCTAGCGGCGCTCTACCTGCTGGAGGGCCCCATCCCCTACAGCTACCACCGACTGAATGGCCTTCTGTACATGTGCGTGCGCTCACTCACTTAGAGAGGTGTTCAGGTGGGTTTCAAGCGGTACTCAGGTGTGTGCTGTGTGTGCTGAGAGCAACCTCCCCTCCCTGGCGGCGCTCTACATGGCGTCCAACCTGCTGGAGGGACCCATCCCCTACAGCTACCACCGCCTCAACGGGCTCATGTACATGTGAGTGCAAAGGAGGTGTTGTGTGCGGTGTAAAGCAGTACTCAGGTGTGTGCTGTGGTGCTGAGAGCAATCTGCCCTCCCTGGCGGCGCTCTACATGGCGTCCACCAACCTGCCGGACCCCCTCCAACCAGCCTCTCTTCATCCTCTCTCTTCCTCGTCTGTCTCTCCCCCTACCCAACAGCGATCTGAGCTACAACACGGGCATCAACGGCACCGTGCCCGAGTTTTTCGGCAACATGTGGCTGCTGGAGTCCATGTAAGCGCTGTGGCGTGCGGTGGGATGGGGTGGGATAGATAATGGCATGGTTCGGATGGGTTGGGATGGCATGGCATCAACGGCACGATGCCAGAGTTCTTTTGGCAACCTGTGGCTGCTGGAATCCATGTAAGCGCTGTTGCATGGTAAGGGATGGGTTCAAATAGGTTTAAAGAGGGAATAAGGGGGGTTCAAATGGGTTGCGATGGCATGGCATCAACAGCATGGTGTTTTGAGTTCTTTGGCAACCTGTAGCTGCTGGAGTCCATGTAAGGGGCATGCGATGGCATAGGATGGGGGATGAGACTGCACAGTATGGCGGATGGCATGGCACAGCTTGATGCTAGGATTCCTTGGCAGCCTGTGGCGTTCCTCCCTCCTCCCCAGTCTCACCGGAACCATCCCAGCATCCCTCGGTTCCTTCTCCCTGCTAGTGGAGATCTTCCTCGACAACAACAAGCTCACCGGCTCCATCCGCTCCTTCCCTTCCTCCTCCCCACCTCCCCTCCACCCCACCTTCCCCAACTCTCCCCCACTCCCCCAGTGCGTTTGAGAACTGCAACCTGACCGGCACAATCCCAGCCTCCCTCGGATCGCTCTCCCTCCTCGTGGAGATCTTCCTCAACAACAACAAGCTCACCGGCTCCATCCCCTCCTTCCCGCCCTCCTGCCCTCTCCATCCCCTCCTTCCCGCCCTCCTGCCCTCTCCATCCCCTCCTTCCCGCCCTCCTGCCCTCTCCATCCCCTCCTTCCCGCCCTCCTGCCCTCCTCTCCTCCTTCCCTCTTCCCCACCTCCAGTGCGTTTGAGAACTGCAACCTCACGGGTACAATCCCGGCTTCCCTCGGATCGCTCTCCCTCCTCGTGGAGATCTTCCTCGACAACAACAAGCTCACCGGCTCCATCCCTGACACGCTCGGGGGCCTCGAGGCGCTCAACAAGCTGTACCTGAACCAGAACTTCCTGGAAGGTTCCGTGCCGTCCACGCTGTGCAACCTGACCAATGTGCGGGAGATCAATCTGTCCAAGAACGGGCTCGATGGGGACCTGCCCTTGTGCCTCGTGACTCTGCCGCACGTGACATCGCTCTTGGTGTCCTACAATCAGTTGTCAGGAGACGTGCCGGACATACCAGACGACTCAAAGCTCTTCTTCAGGTGAGCTGAGCTCTCTTCGTTCAGGTGAGATCTGGTTGGTTGGATGAGGTCTGTCTAGGAACGGGCTGGGCGCCAGAGAGAGAGACCACGCTGTGCAACCTGACCAATGTGCGGGAGATCAATCTGTCCAAGAACGGGCTCAACGGGGACCTGCCGCTGTGACTCGTGACTCTCCCACATGTGACTTCGCTACTAGTCTCGCACAATCAGCGTTCGGGATATTCCAGACGACTCAAAGCTTTTCTTTAGGTGCTGTCTCCAGGTGAGATCCAGGACTCAAAATCTTTCCCTCGTTCTCTCCTCCTATCCCCTTCCACCCATCCCAACCAGATACGACCACAACTGCTACGAGGGAATGCCGGACCAATCCCCATGTGCCGAGCCTTCCTTTACCAGCGATGGCACCACCACCAGCGACGGGAATAACAACGATTATGGAGCAGACAACGCCACCTGGTCTGACACCACAGCGGACGATTACCAGCAGTTTTACGACTCGGATAGCGATAGCAGCAGCAGCGGTGGTAACCAGCAGCAGCAGAGCCAGTCATCCTCCAGTGAGTGTGCTGTGGGGTGTGTGGGGTGGAGAGGGGTGAGTTGAGGTGGAGAGGGGTGAGTGGAGGTGGAGAGGGGTGAGTGGAGGTGGAGAGGGGTGAGTGGAGGTGGAGAGGGGTGAGTGGGGGTTGGTTTGGGTCTGACACCACAGCGGACGATTACCAGCAGTTCTATGACAACGAGACCATGGGGGCCGGTGATAACCAGCAGCAGCAGAGCCAGTCATCCTCCAGTGAGTGTGCTGTGGGGGGTGACTGGGACTTGGTGGGGTGGAATGGGGTTGAGTGCGGCTGACAACGCCACTTGGTCTGATACCACAGCGGGCGATTACCAGCAGTTTTACGACAACAGTAGCAGCGGTGGGAGCCAGCAGAGCAGCCATTCGTCTTCTTCCGTGAGTGTGCTGCTGGGGGGATGGAGAGGGGTGGGTAGGAGCTGGTTTGGACTGATACCACAGCGGGCAATTACCAGCAGTTTTACGACAACAGTAGCAGCGGGAGCAGCCAGCAGAGCCAGTCATCCTCCTCCAGTGAGTGTGCTGTGGGTGGGGGAGATGTGTAGGATGGAAAGGGTGGGGGCGGGGGGGGGGAGGGGAAGGGTGTGGTCTGCTGCTCCTGGCCGAGCTGCTGGCTTGCATTGCGGCACGGTGACTCAAAAATCGACTTATCACACACGCTGTGGTCTGCTGTTCCTGGCCGAACTGCTGGCTTGCATTGCGGCACGGTGACTCAAAAATCGACTTATCACACACGCTGTGGTCTGCTGTTCCTGGCCGAGCTGCTGGCTTGCATTGCGGCACGGTGACTCAAAAATCGACTTATCACACACGCTGTGGTCTGCTGTTCCTGGCCGAGCTGCTGGCTTGCATTGCGGCACGGTGACTCAAAAATCGACTTATCACACACGGTGTGGTCTGCTGTTCCTGGCCGAGCTGCTGGCTTGCATTGCGGCACGGTGACTCAAAAATCGACTTATCACACACGGTGTGGTCTGCTGTTCCTGGCCGAGCTGCTGGCTTGCATTGCGGCACGGTGACTCAAAAATCGACTTATCACACACGCTGTGGTCTGCTGTTCCTGGCCGAGCTGCTGGCTTGCATTGCGGCACGGTGACTCAAAAATCGACTTATCACACACACTGTGGTCTGCTGTTCCTGGCCGAGCTGCTGGCTTGCATTGCGGCACGGTGACTCAAAAATCGACTTATCACACACGCTGTGGTCTGCTGTTCCTGGCCGAGCTGCTGGCTTGCATTGTGGCACGGTGACTCAAAAATCGACTCATCACACACGGTGTGGTCTGCTGCTCCTGGCCGTGCTGCTGGCTTGCATTGCGGCATGGCATGCCACCCAACTTCAATGTGTAACCTTGTCCCTTCCACCCCTCCCCCTCCCCTTCTAACCCTCCAGGCCACATCCCTGTTCATCTACATTCTCCTGCTGCTTCTAGCGGTGCTGCTCGCCTTTGCAGCAAGTACCATCCCCTCTCCCCTAACCCATCCCCCCCTCTCCCCTCCCCCTCCCCTACTCCCCTCCAGGCCACACCCCTGTGTTCATCTACATTCTTCTGCCGCTCCTAGCTATGGTGCTGGCATGCGTGGCAGCGTACCACTTCTCACCCAAGTTCAGAGATGCAGTGCACGTGCTGATCAACGGGAGGGACAAACGTAAGTCTTGTGTTACTTGCTGGTTGCTTGCTGTGTATGCCGGTCTTGCCTAGCCTGTGCTGCACTGCACCGTGCTGCTGGCGTGCGTTGCAGCGTACCACTTTTCGCCCAAGTTCCGAGACTCCGTGCACGTGCTGATCAACGGGAGGGATAAGTGTAAGTGCCCGTCTGTCTTGCCTAGCCTGTGCTGCACTGCACCGTGCTGCTGGCGTGCGTTGCAGCGTACCACTTCTCACCCAAGTTCAGAGACGCCGTGCACGTGCTGATCAACAGGAGGGACAAACGTGAGTAACGTATTGTGGGAGGAATAAGTGTGAGTGCCGTCTGTTTGACTCTTGCTGGATGATTGCTAGACGCCATTCTTGCCTAGCCTCTACTGCACTGCACCGCAGCGTACCACTTGTCTCCCAAGTTCCGAGACGCCGTGCACGTGCTGATCAACGGGAGGGACAAACGTGAGTGCCGTCTGTTTGACGCTTGCTGGGTACTTGCTGTATGGCCGTCTTGCCTAGCCTGCACTGCAGTGGGCGTGACAGATTTTGATCTCTCGTGCACATCAGGAAGGCAACAGACAGGCATCCCCTTTGAGGCGCCTCAAAAGTGGGTACTTGCTGTATGGCCTTCTTGCCTAGCCTGCACTGCAGTGGGCGTGACAGATTTTGATCTCTCGCGCGCATCAGGAAGGCAACAAACTGGCATCCCTTTTTCCTCCCCTTCCTCATTCCCCCTGACGACCTCACTTTCCAACCCCTCTTCCAACCCCTCTTCCAACCCGACCCGTCTTCCAACTTCTCTTCCAACCCCCACCCCCAACACCTCCCCCATCTCTCCCCCCTTCCTCTCTGCCCCTCTGCAGTGGCCGTGACTGAGTTTGACCTCACGCGCATCAAGAAAGCGACAGGAAACTTCACGGCAGAGTATGGACGGGGGAGCTTCGGGGTGGTGTTTTCAATCGTGTCCCGTTGCCCACTTCCCTTCTTCCCCCCCACCTTTCCCCTGTGCAGTGGGCGTGACAGAGTTTGATCTCATGCGCATTAAGAAAGCGACAGAAAACTTCACAGCAGACTATGGGTGGGGGAGCTTCAGGGCGGTGTTTCTCGATCTTGCCTCCTTTCCCACTCCCCCTTCCCTCCCCTCTTGCCTTCAGTGGGCGTGACTGAGTTTGATCTCACGCGCATCAAGAAGGCGACAGGAAACTTCACAGCAGAGTATGGACGGGGGAGCTTCGGCGTGGTGTTTCTGGCGGACGAGTTTTTCAAAGGGCAGGCGGAGCCGCGAGCCATCATCAAGCGAGCTCACGACCCGCAGAGTGAGTGAAGTGTGCATCTCTCTTTCGCCTGTGTTGTGGCTGGGCACATGGTATGGTTGCCGCAGAGTAGGGGTGTGGGAGCTTCGGGGTGGTGTTTTTGGCAGATGAGTTCTTCAAAGGGCAGGCGGAGCTGCGAGCAATTATCGAGAGATCTCACGACCAGCATGGCATCGACCAGGAAAAGCGCGCATGCTCTAACCCTCTCTACCCCCCTCCACCTCCCCCTCTCTCTCCCGTTTCCCCTCCTCTCCACCCATTCAACAGAGGTCAGCGAGTTCTTGTTCAAGTGCAAGGTGGAGATTCTGGCCAAGGCACGCCACCGATACGTTGTGAACCTGCATGGCAACTGCGTTAACCAGGGAGAGCGCATCCTTTCTAACCCCTCCTCACCCCTTTCCACCACTTTTCACCCGTCTCCACACTTCTCCACCCCTCTCCACACCTGCTCACCTCTCCACCCCTCCAGAGGTCAGCGAGTTCCTGTTCAAGTGCAAGGTGGAAATACTAGCCAAGGCGCGGCACCGCTATGTGGTGAATCTGCACGGCTACTGCGTCAACCAGGGGGAGCGCATCCTCGTTTATGAGTTCCTCCCTAACGGCACTCTCTTCGACCGCCTGCACCGTAAGTGTTTAACAAGGTTAAAGTGCATCCTCGTTTATGAGTTCCTCCCTAATGGCACTCTCTTCGACCGCCTCCACCGTGAGATTTTAAACACTACCTATACGCAGAATACATGTGGATACATAATGATTGAGTTGATGCTTCATCCAAGGGCAATTTCGTCCTGCTTTCCTCTCGTTCCTTCCCCTGTCTCTTGCTTTCTTGTCCCCCATTCAGGTCCCGAGCTGGAACCTCTCGCGTGGGAAATGCGAGTGCGCGTGGCCTATCATGTAAAACGTGTTAACACCCGAACCCGCGCCCTGGAGCATCTGCACCACGACCTCACTCGCTCATTCCTCCTTTTCCTGCTTTCCTACCATCCTCCCTCGCCCCTGCAAACCCCCTCTCAGGTCCCGAACTAGAGCCTCTCGCCTGGGAGGCCCGAGTTCGAGTGGCCTATCATGTTGCCAGTGCTCTGGAGCATCTGCACCACGACCTCACTCCTCCTTCCCCCCTTCCCGGTCTTGCTTCTCTGCCCCATGAAACACAGGTCCCGAGTAGAGCCTCTGGCCTGGGAAACACGGGTTCGAGTGGCCTACCATGTTGCCAGCGCCCTGGAGCATCTGCACCTCGACCTCACCCTCTCATTCCTCCTCTCGTGCCTTTCTGTTCCATCCCTCTTCCTTAACCCGCTTCCAGGTCCCGAGCTGGAACCTCTGGCCTGGGAGACACGCTTAGAGTGGCCTACCATGTTGCCAGCGCCCTGGAGCATCTGCACCACGACCTCACACCCTGTCTTGCTTTACTGCCCATCACCCGCCCCCCCTTCCCACCAGGCCCCGAACTAGAGCCTCTCGCATGGGAAACACGAGTACGTGTGGCATACCACATTGCCAGTGCCCTGGAGCATCTGCACCACGACCTCACCCCACCGCTGGTGCACCGAGCAGTGACCTCCTCCAACATTCTCCTGGCTGCTGACATGACAGCTAAGGTGAGCTGCTGCCCTGGTTCCTCATGCCTCGAGGTGGGCTTTGGAGCATCTGCATCACGACCTCACCCCCCCGCTGGTGCACCGAGCAGTGGTGACCTCGACCTCACAAAGCAGTACACCCTTCTGCTGGCAGCTGACATCACTGCCAAGGTGAGCCTCGTGCTGCATGCTGCATGCCACATGCCACATGCTAAGGGCAGCGGCGGCGGCAAGAGTGCGTTTGACGACACGCCTCGGCGCAAGAAGAGCCGCAAGCAGGTGGCTGACGTGCAGTCGCCCTCTCCTCGTCTCTCACTCACTCCCACCTCTTCCCTTCCCTCCTTCTGTGCCCCTGTGCCTGTCCCCAGCTGAGCGATTTCGGCATTGCCAAGGGTAGCAGCGGGGGCAAGAGCGCGTTTGACGACACGCCGCGGCGCAAGAAGAGCCGCAAGCACAAGCAGGTGGCCGACATGCAGTCGCCCTCTCCTTTCTCCCCAAATGGAGAGTGGCGGAGAGCGGTGGAGCGCGGTGGCGTCATGCCCTCGGCTCGTCTCTCACTCACCCACCACCCCTTCCCTTCCCTCCCTCCCTGTTCCCAGTTGAGCGATTTCGGCATAGCCAAGGGCAGCAGTGGTGGCAAGACGGCCTTCGATGACACGCCGCGGCGCAAGAAGAGCCGCAAGCACAAGCAGGTGGCTGACGTGCAGTCGCCCTCGCCACAGATGGAGAAGGCGGATGTGTATGGGTTCGGAGTGGTGCTGCTGGAGTTAATTACAGGGCAGAAGGCCATGAAGGAGGTTCACATTACCACCATGGTGAGAGAGGGTGCAGTGCGGTTGACTTGGGTTAAATCCTGGTGCAAAATGGTGGTGTATGGTGGAATGCGGTAGAGTGTGCAGTCGCCCTCGCCACAGATGGAGAAGGCGGATGTGTATGGGTTCGGAGTGGTGCTGCTGGAGTTAATTACACGGCATAAGGCCATGAAGGAGGTTCACATTACCACCATGGTGAGAGAGGGTGCAGTGCGGTTGACTTGGGTTAAATCCTGGTGCAAAATGGTGGTGTATGGTGGAATGCGGTAGAGTGTGCAGTCGCCCTCGCCACAGATGGAGAAGGCGGATGTGTATGGGTTCGGAGTGGTGCTGATGGAACTGATTACGGGCCAGAAGGCCATGAAGGAGGTTTATATCACTACCATGGGTAAGAGTCACAGTGCAGTGCGGTTGAATGTGGTATAATCCTGGTAGAAAATCGGCCCCGTTTTGGAAGACCCGCAGATGATGCCTCTCATGGTGGGACCCTCTCTGGGGTGTCTGAGCCGCCCTCTCTTCTTTGCAGTGCCTGATCTCCCTCCCTTTCCCACCACATTTCCCTCTTCTCCCATCAGGCTGCCCCTTTCCTGGAGGGTCCTCAGATGATGCCTCTCATGGTGGACCCCCTACCTGGGCGCTCAGTGTCTAGTACTCACTCCTCGCTCCCTCCATTGACACCCCTTCTTCTCCACCCCCCCATCAGGCTGCTCCCTTCCTAGAAGACCCGCAGATGCAGATGATGCCTCTCATGGTGGACCCCTACCTGGGTGCTCAGTGTCTAGTGCGCTCAGTGTGTCCCCATCACAATCCCTGCTTCCCCACCACCCACCCAATCAGGCCGCCCGCTTCCTGGAGGATCCTCAGATGATGCCTCTCATGGTGGACCCCTACCTGGGCGCTGAGGGTGTGGGATTCGAGGTCTGATATCATAACGGATTCCCCACCTCATATCCCACTCTTCCCACTCCCCCCTTCTCCAGGCCGCTCCCTTTCTGGAGGACCCGCAGATGATGCATCCCTACCTGGGTGATCAGTGTCTAGTGCTCGGATCAAGGCGCTCACCCCTCCCTCCCTCGATTCCCCGCCTCTCTCCCTTTCCTCCCATCAGGCTGCCCCTTTCCTGGAAGACCCTCAGATGATGCCTCTTATGGTCGACCCCTACCTGGGCGGCAATTATCGGCAGGAGGAGCTCATAGAGCTGGGCGGCTTGGCCCGCGACTGCATCCAAGAAAACGCCGCTTGCCGCCCGTCCATGCGCGAGGTTCTCGAGAGAATGGAGGAGAATCTGCCGTCCGTCGGTGTGTGTATCGAAGGGGACGGGATTGGAGGGAAGGCAGGAGGAGACGACGAGGAATCCGGGTTACTTGTGGAGGGGTACTCCGCGGCCGCGCCCACGTTCGGGCAGGGTGTTACGCACCTGCACCCTCCGAATGTGAGGGTGGACGGCGGGGGGCACGAGCACGGATCTGCTGTGATGCGGGAAGAGAGGCAAGTGACGGGGATATCGGGGATTTCAGCGCCGGCGTCTGCTTGGGCGTCGATTGAGGGGTTTGCCAAGTCGATCAAGAGCGCGATTGTGAACCCGAGGGGGCACCGGGGGGAGTCGGATCATGAGATGTCGTCGCTGCTGGTGCTGGGGACGAAGACGGGGAGCAGCAGCAGCAGTGGTAGGTGAGCGGCTACCAGCAGCAGCAGTGGGGGGACGGGGGCACGAGCATGGATCTGCTGTGATGCGGGAGGAGAGGCAGGTGACGGGAATTTCGGGGATTTCGGCACCGGCATCGATCAAGAGCGCGATTGTGAACCCGAGGGGGCAGCGGGGGGGGAGTCAGATCATGAGATGTCGTCGCTGCTGGTGCTGGGAGCAAAGACGGGGAGCAGCAGCAGCAGTGGTAGGTGAGAGGTAGCAGCAGCCGCATTGGGAGTGTTGGAGGAGGTGATAAGTTATCAGGCAGGCAGTCATGGCGGCCTTCCAAGGCAGCAGCCGAGTGTACATGTCTCCAAGATATAACCGGCTATAATATCTCCTAACAAGATTGTCTAATTTATATACAAGCATAGTAGTGACAATTCTGTTGTCCCTTAATTTGTTTGTTTGTCTTTGTTTATTAGAATGAGCGTAAAGACAAGCTTGCAGTCCTCAATTTTAATGTGTGTTAGTCATAAAAGATTTTCAGTTATGTCACACAACCGAAGTTCAGCTTTCATTACCCTACTGTATCTCATTGAAAGGGCAGCAGCGCGATTCCCGCTAGGCAGCAGCGCGATTCCCGCTAGGCAGCAGCGCGATTCCCGCTAGGCAGCAGCGCGATTCCCGCTACCTAGGCAGCAGCGCGATTCCCGCTAGGCAGCAGCGCGACTCCCGCTAGGCAGCAGCTCTTTCCTCGCTAGTAGCAGCGCGATCCCGCCACGTAGCCCGCGACTCAGCCTCTTAGCCCGCGATTCAGCCACCCAGGCCGCGATCTAGCCGCCCAGCCCGCGATTTAGCCGCCCAGCTCGCGATCTAGCCGCCCAGCCCGCGATCTAGCCGCCTACGCCTCGATCTAGCCGCCTAGCCCGCATCTTAGCCGCTTAGCCAGCGATTTAGCCGCCCCGCCCGCGACCTAGCTGCAAAGCAGCGATCTTGCTGACCAACCGGTGATTTAGCCGCTTAGCCCGCGAACTGCAGGTAGCAGCGCGCAGCTAGGCAGTGGAACCCGCGCCGTAACAGCGAAATCCGCACCGCAGCAGCGAAAATCGCGCCGTAGCAGCGAAATCCACGCCGTAGCAGCGAAATTCGCGCCGTGGCAGCGAAATCCCCGTCGTAGCAGCGACATCCACGCCTAGGCAGCAAAACCCACGCTGTAGCAGCGACATCTGCGCCGTAGCAGCGAAATCCGCGCCGTAGCAGCGAAATCCGCGCCGTAGCAGCGAAGCCCGCGCCGTAGCGTCCAAGTGCACGCTGTAGCAGCGAAGTGCGCGCCACAGCAGCGAATTGCGCGCCGTAGCGGCGAATTGCGCGCCGTAGCAGCGCAATCCGGTGCCTCGGCAGCGAAACCCGCGCCGTAGCAGCGAAATCCGCGCCGTAGCAGCGAAGTGCGCGCCGTAGCAGCGAAGTGCGCGCCGTAGCAGCGAAGTGCACGCCGTAGCAGCGAAGTGCGCGCCGTAGCAGCGAAGTGCACGCCGTAGCAGCGAAGTCCGGGCAAAGAGCAGTGAAGTCCGCCATGTAACAGTGAAACCCGCGCCGTAGCAACGAAATCCGCGTCGCGGCGGAGGGATCAGCGCCCAGGCAGCTATACTCGCGCGTAGGAGCGCCATCGCAGCGAAGCTCGTGCCTAGGCAGCGACTACCGCGTGTAGGGAGGGCCACAAAGCGAGACCCGCGCCTAGGTACCAACACCTGCAGGTAGGAGCGTCCAGCGTATAGGGGAGTCTCCGTGCGCCAGCGACGCCCAACACCTTCGACTCACCCGGACTGCGAACCTTATATCGAAGGCGGGAGGCGCCCCTCCAGCGCTCCCCGCAAACAGCTTACGCCATGAACAACGATCCAGACCCCCCAGACCGGGGGAGGAAGATCATCGCGAGGATTGGCCACAAGAGACCCAGGGAGGCAGCACCGAGTATGCAATACCCACAACTTTGTCGCCTCCACCACGAGGATGCACTCTGCCTTTTTGGCAAGCCCAGCAAGCGACAAAGGTATGGACCCCTCTCGACAGGGGGGGGGATAGAGGAACCACCCAAAGACACTCTCGGCGGCTTCGTAGGCGGCAGCGACACCATCTCCAGCCGGGACCTGGACGTGACGGACGAGGGCGAGTGCGGTCATGGGGTGCATAGGCAAGGTACCGGTGATGACGCGGCGATGGCTGCATGGGAGGCACACCGCCGGCGACTGCAGGAGTCTCATGATAGGCGGCGGAGGGCCCTGGGAAATCCTTTGGCACGCCCAGCCCTCACAGCTCCGCGCGGGCCTCGCCTGGCCCAAAGGAAGGAACAGAGACAGAGAGCTCGGGCGGAAGTGCAGCAATGGAGTCCAGCGGGGACCCAGCCCTCGAGGCAGGAGGGGGGGCAGCAGAACTGGCTGTTGGGGGAGGCCCAGAAGCCACAAGCAAGGGAGCAGCAAGTGCGGCCGGCGGGAGGGCAGCAGGAGCTGCCGGCGAGAGGGGAGCAGCAGCTGCTGGCGAGAGGGGAGCAGGAGCTGCCGGCGAGAGGGGAGCAGGAGCTGCCGGCGAGAGGGCAGCAAGAGCCGCAGGCAAGAGGGCGGCAGGCGCGGTCGGCAGGCGAGCAGCAGGTACTGCCGAAGGGAGAGCAGCAGGAGTGGCCGGCGGGAGGGCAGCTGGAGCTGCCGGCGGGGGGGCAGCAGGAGCTGCAGGCAGGAGGGCAGCGGGAGGTGCCAGCGGGAGGGCAGCAGGAGGTGCCAGCGGGAGGGCAGCAGGAGGTGCCAGCGGGAGGGCAGCAGGAGGCGTTGGCGAGAGGGCAGCAGGAGGTGCCGGCGAGAGGGCAGCAGGAGGTGCCGGCGAGAGGGCAGCAGGAGGTGCCGGCGAGAGGGCAGCAGGAGCTGTCGGCTGGGGGGCAGCAAATGGTAGAAGTGGAGATGGCCGAGCTACAGCCAGAGGTGCAGCAGGACCACTCGAGGAACCGGGCCCGGCCACACGCAGGAGGGCAGCAGGAGCCGCCCGGGGGAGAGCAGCGTGAGCTGCCAAGGGAAGAGCAGCAGGAGATGCCGGCAAGGGAGCAGCAAGCAAGGGAGCAGCAAGCGGTAGAAGTGGAGATGGCCGAGCTACAGCCAGAGTCACAGCAGGACCAATCGGGAAACCAGGCCTGGCCACAGGCAGGAGGGCAGCAGGGGCCGCCCGGGGGAGAGCAGCTTGAGCTGCCAAGGGAAGAGCAGCAGAAGCCGCCGGGGGTGGGGCAGCTGCCGGCAAGGGAGCAGCAAGCGGTGGATGTGGAGATGGCCGAGCTACTGCCAGAGGTGCAGCAGGACCAATCAGGGAACCAGGTCCGGCTGCAGGCAGGAGGGCAGCAGGAGCTGCCGGGGGAGGAGCGGCAGGAGCTGCCAACAGGAGGGCAGCTGGGGCTGTCGGGGGGAGGGCAGCAGGAGCTGTCGGAGGGGGAGCGGCGGGAGCTGCCGGCGCGGGGGCAGCTGGAGGTCGCTAGTGCGGACTCTACAAGCCAAGCGAAGAGAACCCAAACACGGGGCCGAGGCGGGAGACGACACGCCCGTAAGACGCAAGGCCGAACTGGAAGCGGAGCTGCCGCCCAGCAGGCGGAGGGGCAGCCGGGGGCGACCGAGACACCCCCGGGAGCTCTGCGGGTGGGGGGGCAGCCCTGGGTGCCCGGGGCGCCCCAAGGAGAGCAGCAGCCAGGGGGACAGCCGGGGGTGCCCGGGGCACCCCAGGGAGTGCAGCAGGCAGGGGGGCAGCCGGGGGTGCCCGGGGCACCCCAGGGAGTGCTGCAGGCAGGGGGGCAGCCGAGGGTGCCCGGAGCACCCCAGGGAGTGCAGCAGGCAGGGGGGCAGCCAGGGGTGCCCGGGGCACCCCAGGGAGTGCAGCAGGCAGGGGGGCAGCCGGGGGTGCCCGGGGCTCCCCAGGGAGTGCAGCAGGCAGGAGGGCAGCTGAGGGTGCCCGGGGCACCCCAGGGAGCGCAGCAGGCAGGAGGGCAGCCGAGGGTGCCCGGGGCACCCCAGGGAGTGCAGCAGGCAGGAGGGCAGCCGAGGTTGCCCGGGGCACCCCAGGGAGCGCAGCAGGCAGGAGGGCAGCAGGGGGTGCCCGGGGCACCCCAGGGAGTGCAGCAGGCAGGAGGGCAGCCGAGGGTACCCGGAGCACCCCAGGGAGGGCAGCAGGCAGGGGGGCAGCCGAGGGTGCCCGGGGCACCCCAGGGAGTGCAGCAGGCAGGGGGGCAGCCGGGGGTGCCCGGGGCTCCCCAGAGAGTGCAGCAGGCAGGAGGGCAGCTGAGGGTGCCCGGGGCACCCCAGGGAGCGCAGCAGGCAGGAGGGCAGCCGAGGGTGCCCGGGGCACCCCAGGGAGTACAGCAGGCAGGAGGGCAGCCGAGGGTGCCCGGGGCACCCCAGGGAGTGCAGCAGGCAGGAGGGCAGCAGGGGGTGCCTGGGGCACCCCAGGGAGTGCAGCAGGCAGGAGGGCAGCCGAGGGTACCCGGAGCACCCCAGGGAGTGCAGCAGGCAGGAGGGCAGCCGAGGGTGCCCGGGGCACCCCAGGGAGTGCAGCAGGCAGGGGGGCAGCTGGGGGTGCCCGGGGCACCCCAGGGAGTGCAGCAGGCAGGAGGGCAGCCGAGGGTGCCCGGGGCACCCCAGGGAGCGCAGCAGGCAGGAGGGCAGCCGGGGGTGCCCGGGGCACCCCAGGGAGTGCAGCAGGCAGGGGGGCAGCCGGGGGTGCCCGGGGCACCCCAGGGAGTGCAGCAGGCAGGGGGGCAGCCGGGGGTGCCCGGGGCACCCCAGGGAGTGCAGCAGGCAGGAGGGCAGCCGAGGGTGCCTGGGGCACCCCAGGGAGTGCAGCAGGCAGGAGGGCAGCCGAGGGTGCCCGGGGCACCCCAGGGAGTGCAGCAGGCAGGAGGGCAGCCGGGGGTGCCCGGGGCACCCCAGGGAGTGCAGCAGGCAGGGGGGCAACCGGGGGTGCCCGGGGCACCCCAGGGGGTGCAGCAGGCAGGGGGGCAGCCGGGGGTGCCCGGAGCACCCCAGGGAGTGCAGTAGGCAGGAGGGCAGCCGAGGGTGCCCGGGGCACCCCAGGGAGTGCAGCGGGCAGGTGGGGAGCCAGGGGTGCCCGGAGCACCCCAGGGAGTGCAGCAGGCAGGAGGGCAGCCGGGGGTGCCCGGGGCATCCCAGGGAGTGCAGCAGGCAGGAGGGCAGCCGAGGGTGCCCGGGGCACCCCAGGGAGTGCAGCAGGCAGGAGGGCAGCTGAGGGTGCCCGGGGCACCCCAGGGAGTGCAGCAGGCAGGAGGGCAGCAGGGGGTGCCTGGGGCACCCCAGGGAGTGCAGCAGGCAGGAGGGCAGCCGAGGGTACCCGGAGCACCCCAGGGAGTGCAGCAGGCAGGAGGGCAGCCGAGGGTGCCCGGGGCACCCCAGGGAGTGCAGCAGGCAGGGGGGCAGCTGGGGGTGCCCGGGGCACCCCAGGGAGTGCAGCAGGCAGGAGGGCAGCCGAGGGTGCCCGGGGCACCCCAGGGAGCGCAGCAGGCAGGAGGGCAGCCGGGGGTGCCCGGGGCACCCCAGGGAGTGCAGCAGGCAGGGGGGCAGCCGGGGGTGCCCGGGGCACCCCAGGGAGTGCAGCAGGCAGGGGGGCAGCCGGGGGTGCCCGGGGCACCCCAGGGAGTGCAGCAGGCAGGAGGGCAGCCGAGGGTGCCTGGGGCACCCCAGGGAGTGCAGCAGGCAGGAGGGCAGCCGAGGGTGCCCGGGGCACCCCAGGGAGTGCAGCAGGCAGGAGGGCCGCCGGGGGTGCCCGGGGCACCCCAGGGAGTGCAGCAGGCAGGGGGGCAACCGGGGGTGCCCGGGGCACCCCAGGGAGTGCAGCAGGCAGGGGGGCAGCCGGGGGTGCCCGGAGCACCCCAGGGAGTGCAGTAGGCAGGAGGGCAGCCGAGGGTGCCCGGGGCACCCCAGGGAGTGCAGCGGGCAGGTGGGGAGCCAGGGGTGCCCGGAGCACCCCAGGGAGTGCAGCAGGCAGGAGGGCAGCCGGGGGTGCCCGGGGCATCCCAGGGAGTGCAGCAGGCAGGAGGGCAGCCGAGGGTGCCCGGGGCACCCCAGGGAGTGCAGCAGGCAGGAGGGCAGCTGAGGGTGCCCGGGGCACCCCAGGGAGTGCAGCAGGTAGGAGGGCAACCGAGGATGCCTGGAGCACCCCAGGGAGAGCAGCAGGCTGGGGGGCAGCCGGGGGTGACCGGAGCACCCCAGGGGGAGCAGCAGCTAGGGGGGCAGCCGGGGGTGACCCGAGCACCCCAGGGCGAGCAGCAGGCAGGGGAGCAGCCGGGGGTGACCGGAGCACCCCAGGGAGTGCAGCTGGCAGGAGGGCAGCCGATGGTGCCTGGGGAACCCCAGGGAGTGCAGCAGGCAGGAGGGCAGGGAGTGCAGCAGGCAGGAGGGCAGCCGAGGGTGCCCAGAGCACCCCAGGGAGAGCAGCAGGCAGGGGGGCAGCCGGGGGTGACCGGGGCACCCCAGGGAGCGCAGCAGCCAGGGGGGCAGCCGAGGGTGCCCTGGCACCCCAAGGAGCGCAGCAAGCAGGGGGGAGATCGATGGACGACCAGGAGCAACAGTTGGAGGAGTGGTGTCGACTTCTGGAGCTTGATACCCCCATGGCGACTGCGGAGGAGTCAGAGGCGGACGAAGAACCTCCCATGCCGCCTTCCCCATGCCCCCGCTTCCCGTGCGACACGTGTTTCCACACTTTCGCTACGCGGGGGGCCGCTGCGAACCACATGAGGGTATGCCGAGCGGCTGAGGCGGAGAGGCGTGCACAGGCTCTCGGCTCGATTCCGTCTCTGGTGGAGGCCGACACGCAGGAGCGATCGACGCCGCGGGAATTTGGGGACGAGGCGTGGGCTGGGGTTACGTCATGGGAATGGGAAACATTTTTCAGTGTGGAGGCGGTTGGAGGGAGGACAGTTCGCCGGATCCCACAGCGGGCCAGGTCGGGGGTCTTAGACGCGCTCTGTTGCATCCTTAAGCGCTTGAAGAGCCAGCCGGGAGATGAAGCCGCTACCCTCCTACTCTTGGCGTTTCCGCGCCTCATCCTAGCCATGCCTCCCAAGCCAGGCATAGGTCAGAAGGCGCTGATCACAGAGCGGTTGGGTGCGTTCTGGGAGGGGAGGTGGCGGGAGCTGTTCGACTCTACCATGGCGGCAGCGCGGCCAGCAGTTCGCCCACTTTCCTACACTCGCTCTGATCATGACCCGGATGCCATCCGCCTGTCACGGTGCCGATCTCGGTGCAAAGTGGGGGAGTGGAGCCGAGGATTGGCCTGCCTTACAGCAGGGGAGTTGGGTCGACCGTCTGAGGTCATGGTGCAGTCGCTGCGAGAGAAGCACCCGGCTAGCGCAGGCGAGGTACCACAGTGGGTCCGCGATTTCATCATCGATACCGCTCAGCGGCCTTCACTCACGACCGACATCCTGGCCAGAGCTATCCATACAGCCGCTCGAGCCTCAGCAGCAGGGCCATCGGGGTGGGTCACAGAGCATCTGCGCGACACCTTCCTCACTGAACCTACCTGCCTCTCCCACCTGTTGGAAGTGTTCAACCAATGGGTGGCGGGACAGGTCCCCGAGCGGGCTCGGCCGTGGCTCGCCGCATCCAACCTAGTCGGGCTTTCCAAGCCTAACGGCGACGTCCGGCCGGTGGCGATCGGGGAGGTGGTTCCTCGTATCCTTGCTCGAGCTCTCTGCATCTCGCTCCGCCCTTCGACGGTTTCCTACTTCCTGCCGTGCAACCAGCTGGGAGCGGGCACCAGGGTCGGGGCGGAGATTCTCACTCATTCTTTCCGGTCAGCGCTGGCCACTCACCCCGACTGGTGTGCGCTACAGATAGACGTCGCAAACGCCTTCAATTCGTTTCACCGTCATGTAATGTTCGATGGGCTGCGGGAGTCGCCTTTCTCAGGGATGATCCCATTCTTGCGTGTCTTTTATGGGACACCTAGCGACCTGTACCTCCGAGCGGGCCCTTTCGTACAGAGCCTCGAGTCAGCACGAAGATCGAGGCAGGGGGACCCGCTCGGCCCTTTTCTTTTCGCGTTCACGCAGCAGCAGGTGATGGAGCCGGTTACTAGGGAGTTCAAGGACCTGCTTTTCCTCAGCTATGTAGACGATACCTATATTTTGGGGCCAGCAGCTAGGATTCTAGAGGCTTTTGGGGTGCTGCGGGAGCGGTTGGAGTGGGTAGGGCTGGAGGTGCAGGCGCACAAGTGCCGGTTTTGGGAGCGCGAGGGCAAGGAGGTGGAGCGGGCACTGCCATTGGGGATGCAGCGGGTGGATGAGGGTCTTACTGTGGTGGGCGTGCCTATTGGAGAGGAGGTTTGGGAGGTGGTCCGGCTACGGGAGCGGCTTCGACAATTGCAGGCGCCACTGCCATGGCTCCCCTTGCTCGACCACCCCCAGATGGCTTCACACCTCCTCGCCATTGCAGTTTCAGCGCGGCCGATGTACCTCGCCCGGACTATGCCGCCGCGTCCGGAGGTGGCTGAGGCTTTTAGGGATTGGGACAGCTGTTTAGAGGATTGCTTTGAGCAACTTTTCCCACCTGGCACTTGGGAGCAGGACCCCGACCGGTCTAGGCGCGCACGCATGCAGCTGCATCTCCCTGTGCGTCTCGGTGGGTTCGGGATCCGGGCGGCGGCCTCTTTGAGCCCACTGTCCTATGTTTGCGGGTGGGCGCAGGCCGCGCGGGACATTGCACAGTTAGAGGTGGCGGGTGAGGAGGCGATGTTTGCTGAGTACCTCACCACTTCGACAGGGGCAGAGTTTCTTGACCCGTGGTTTGTCAAGGCTCTCGAGCAGCTGCCAGCGACTATCCGCCACGAGATACCGGGCTTACCTCTGTGTGTAGCGGCCCCTCCTGTTCGGCTTTTCCAGGCGTGTCAGCGGCAGTTAGCTGTAGAGGAGCTCCAGGCACTGCGCCGCTTGGCTCGTGACGATGCTACCTTGGCCCGTTTCACATCCCTTCAGGGCCCGGGGGCAGGTGCATGGGTTTCGGCGGTTCCGGCTCCCTCAGATCTCACATTCACTGCGGCTGAGTGGGGCATTGCTGCTGCTATACGGCTCGGCCTCCCAATTCAGCAGCTGCAGGTGGCGGGGAGGTGTGTTTGTGGCACAGCGTATGTTGACCCAGCAAACCCGCACCATGCCCTGAGATGCAGGCACCAGCATGGTCCTTCTCGGGTGCATGATGAGGTGAAGTTTGCGGTGGCGAAAATCTCTAAGGCGTCGGGGGGGGTGGTGACATTGGAGGATAGTGTGGTACTGCAAAGGAAGCGGGTTGCTGTGGCGTTGCGACGTCCATTGGCTGGAGAGGCTCACGCCCTAGAGATCAGCGTCGCGGACCCGCTATCGCTGTCTCCATCACTGCTGGGACAGTGCGGGCGTCAAATAGGTGTGGCGGCAAGGGAATGGGAGCGTCGCAAAACGAGTGATTACGCGCCTCTGCTTGCACGCAACCGGGGCGTGCAGTTCACCCCTTTGATAGTTGAGACGTAGGGGTGTCTCGGCGGTCGTTTTCAGCGGTGGCTTCGTCAGCAGGGGGATGCGCACGTGGGGCTAGCTGTGTCGCGGGGGGCTTGTCGAGAGGACGACTCTGTGTTTTCGGCTTATCTTTTAGGGTCACTGAAGGCGCTCATCGGGGTGGCGTTACAACGTGCGCAAGCCCGTGTCATCCTGCTTCGAGCGGCGTCTTCCATGGGGGGGATTAACGTAGATTTGGCGGATCGGGAGAGGGACGATGTCGATGTGGAAGGCGGGGCTCTCTGGGTGGAGGCCCCGTACATGGTCGATACGTTGATGTGATTGAGGGGGGGGGGGGGGATGGGGCGTGGGATGGGATGTCTTGATGGGGTGTCTTGACTGGGCGTTTTGATTGGGTAACTTGAGGGGGGGTTTTATGTGTGTTGCATTTGGGTTCTTTTTGGGAGTTTCATTTTCCTTCTCCCTTTCTTTCTCCATTCCCTCTCTTTTTCAGACACACTATGGCGAGACACATGGTGTGAATGACTGTTCTATCATGGGTGTGAAAAAGAAAGATTTTCAGTTATTATGCTCTAACGGAGTTGGTGGAATGACAACCAGAGAGCAGATCGAAGACAAAATATTCCAGCTGGGTTGTGAAAATTGCAAAAGTATCCCGCCAACCGGATTCGAACCAGTGACCTAAGGATTGCTACACTACAGTCCTCCGCTCTACCAACTGAGCTATAGCAGGTTGAAGTCAAGGACACGTCAAGTGTTTAATATATTTGAAATTGAAATGGTACTAAGCCACACCTCAAGATTACATCTCGTCTGCAATCATGCGAATTCTTGCCGTACATCACGGCGTCTCTCGCCTCTGTACACTGCCTCTCCCCATCTCCACCGCATTCCACCGATTCCGGCCGACCTGTTTCTACATACCCCGTCCTCGGGCGTCTCAGTCTCCCGCCACATCCGCGCAATTCCTCGGGCGCTCTTCCGTCGACGCGCATTCTTCCGCGCAGGCCAACCCCGCGGAGATGGTGGCGGAGGCGGAAGCCCTGGACGGGTCTGGTACCGCCACTTCTCCTATTACCACGAACGGCGCTGGTACTAGCGCCACGAGCACTGCTGCTAGGTCATTATTACTAGATAGTATTGAAAGCACCGTTCCTTTCACACTCCGCGGTGTCGTTTTCGATATGGACGGGACTCTGACCGTGCCGTGCATAGATTTCGCCGAGATGCGCCGGCGCGTGGGCGCCACGAGCCCGGATATTCTGCACGAGATCGACGGTTGGGATGAGCCGAGACGAGTCGAGGCGTATCGTGTGATTGGGGAGATGGAGGCGGAGGCGAAGCGACGGCTGCAGATCATGCCAGGTGGGTGAATGGCGAATCTACGGTTGCAGTTCATGGGTGAATGGCGATTCAACAGCTGCAGATCATGCCAGGTGGCTGAATGGTAAATCTACGGTTGCAGATTATGCCAGGTGGGTGAATGTCGAATCTACGGTTGCATGCCAGGTGTGAATGGCTTATGTACTTTTGCGGATCATGCCAGGTGGGTGGATTTTGAATCGACGGCTGCAGATCATGACAGGTAGGTGGATTGGGCAATATGGGGTAAGAACCCCTGCATTGACCTGTGCCATGACCCATGAAGTGACCCATGAATTGACTCATGCACTGGCTCATAAGCTGACCATGAATTGACCGACCATGAGTTGATCCACCCATGCGTTGACCATGAGTTCACCCACCCATGCGTTGACCATGAGTTGACCCATGCGTTGACCCATGAGTTGACACATGCGTTGACCATGAATTTACCCAAGTGTTGACCATGTGTTGACCCATGTGTTGACCCATATGATGACCCAGTTGCACTCTCGTTCGCTGACCCGTGCTTTGACTCATCTCAAATGGCTTGATAGCCAACTCAAAAGCCACCATCCTCCTTGCCTGGTCCTCTCTCCCACTCAGTGCACATCTTTTCTGGACCTCTTTTTGCAACTTCTGGAACCACATATGGAGCAGCATATGTTCAGCAGCACTATTTGTAGAATTTTCCAAAACCGCTAACAGTAGTAACCCTCCTACCCTGTGCGTTTCACAGTAACCCTCCTACCCTGTGCGTTTCACAGAAACCCTCCTACCCTGTGCGTTTCGCAGTAACCCTCCTACCCTGTGCGTTTCACAGTAGCCCTCTTACCCTGTGCATTTCACAGTAACCCTCCTACCCTGTGCGTTTCACAGTAACCCCTCTACCCTGTGCGTTTCACAGAAACTCTCCTACCCTGTGCGTTTCACAGTAACCCTCCTACCCTGTGCGTTTCACAGAAACCCTCCTACCCTGTGCGTTTCGCATGTATTTTCAGGGGCTCGCGAGCTCATCGCCTTTCTTGATGCCCGGAACATCAGGCGAGGGCTTATAACGAGGAACGTGAAGGATTCAGTGGACCATTTCCATAGCAATTTCGAGGTCAGTCTCATACCCGTTAAGGAATTTCTTGTTACCAGCTCTGGGCTTATGACGAGGAATGTGAAGGATTAAGTGGATCATTTCCATAGCAGCTTCGAGGTGAGTTTCGTACCTGTTAAGAAAATCTTCGTTACCAGCATTAGGCTTTTAACGAGGAATGTGAAGGATTCAGTGGATCATTGCCATACCAAGCTTCGAGGTGAGCCTTGGATTATGAAGTATGGGTGTGTAACAAGTTTGCCTTGTTGTATGGTGGGGTTTTCTTGTCTGGTATATGTAAACTCTTGTTTTTTTTTTTTAGCTCATGCATCCATCTCCCTCCTCTTATTTTCTTCTTCAGCAGAAGCCATTAGTTGTGAGGTTTCACCAGAGCACCACATGCTGCATACTGTCTCTTTACTTGGCAAGGTCATCTTTGCAGCATGTGTTTGTTTTCTTTCCTTCTGGCCCAATCACCAGGTTCCCCCCTTTTCGCCTGCTCTCAGTCGTGAATTCCAACCCTATAAGCCACATGCTGCCCCGTTATTGCATATTTGTGAACAATGGGGTGTACATCCTTCGGAGGTGATTATGGTGGGAGACTCCGCAAAAGACGATGTAAGATGTCAAGTAGTGTAGCATTCGTGCGATTCTTATCATGTGTGTCCTCGTTATGCTCCTTATCATTGCTCCCTGCTCACCAATTATATCGTTGGGCTTTTGCAGGTGGTGTGTGGAAAGAGAGCAGGTGCTATCACATTTTTTCTTGACGAGGATGGCAAGTTCCCCAGCGTTGACGAGATGCCGGAAGAAATCAGACCCCATTTTCGTATCAGAACTTTGAATGAGATGCTGAATCTCCTCATGTCACCAATGTTTGTGCTACACTCTGACTAGTTTCATAAGCTCCTAAATGTATTGTGTTGCAACATATCATTTCACCCATGCTGAACTCGATCCGAACCATGCAACATCTACACGTGGCACCCTGGTTTCATCCCGTCGGTGTGTGATGTTCCGGCAGCCAGCCCCCGCCACCCCACGCAGCCCCCGTCGCAGGCCCACTCGGCCAATCCGTTGACCGAGCAACCGCGGATTTCTGGCATTGTTGACGGAACGTGATTGGTATTCAGTTCGTCCTCCGTCAAAATCAGCCGCCAGCTGTTGGCAACCGATAACGAGTTCGCCACGCTGGCGGGTGCAATAACCAGCCACAGCTGCACCACCACCACCACCACCACACAACAGTGGCCACCGTCTCATGAAATCCACCAAATTCAGTCATTTCGGCCCACGAGATTCGTCCATCCGAACCTCGACTTCTCCCCGCAACCCGAATATTTGACAGCACTGACGTCAGTGAGGACGACGTCCTCACCTAAATGGTACCCGCAGAAACGCTATATATACATTATAGACCAGTTAGAAACTAGTGATACTTCCACACCACGCTGCTTCAGCTCCCCTTACCAATCGTCCATCTCATGAATCGGTGCGCTCTGCTGCTGTCGGTTACAATTTGAGCCTCGGCACATGATGCCAGTCGTGCGGTTTCGTTCTGTCCGAGTCAACCTATCGCAGCCAGACCAGGCCCATCCCAGGTTCGTTGCCCGGGGACTGATTGGCTGTTCGGTTTGTTCGATGGGCTTGGTTATACTGTAGACGGGCAGCGAAAGTGGGAGAATCGAGACGAACAGCAATCACATCGGCCAGCACATTTTGCGACTCGCTGCTCTTTCTTCCGTTCCTTCGCTTGAAAATTGGAATGCTCGGAGTGGGTATCGTCAGCTTAGCTTCCGTAAGTGCCTTTCCTTCGTGTCGTCCATAAACACGAATTATTGCACCAAACCGCTTTGTACCTTGTTTTCCGTTAATTCTTTACCTCGGTTGTTGTTGGCAACCGTCGTGGTTGGTCGTCGGGATTCGCGAGTCGCGATTCTTCGCGTCGGGAGAATCGTGGTGCTTGGTGCTAGTCAAACCGACATGCTTGCTGCTAGTCAAACCGACACTGCCTGTCATCTTTGCCGAAGCAAGTTCTGCCAGCTCAGTCTGACACACCTGAGGGTGTGGCATCATTCTCGCTATAACACCATATCCAATCGTTCAGGTAACCATTGAAAAACACTGTAAACCGTCAAGCACCTTGCCTAACCGTACTAGCGTGAACTACCTCCACTCACCGTGACAGCCCAGATTGACAGGTGGGTTTGACAGCTGCTAGGGGTGTGTACGGGCATCAGTGGGCGTCCAGCCAAGACCAAGGCCCAGAAAACTAGACCGATTGCGTTCAACTCGATGCTTTCCGTTCGATCGTTTACTAATGCATCCTACCTTCGATTCGTTCAGACCCAGAAAACGAGAATCTCCAGAATAATTTCGTTCGCGGATCACGAGCCTCCACTTAGCTATATTAGTGCTTCTCTAGAGACCCCACCGCACTATGACTCGTCCCTGTCTCCTCCGCAGCTTCGAAAACAAGAATTCTACCTTCTGAAGCCATCTTTCGTCGTTAATTCTACAAGGACTCTTAGTCAATAGCTCTCGGTTTCCCGAATCACGATTTACCCGGGTTCTAGTTCCTGCGTCGCCATTTTCCCGGTTTCTCTTCACAGCCGCAACCATGGTTGGGCCAAAATTATCCTCCGAATCCTTCCTTCGCGACTTAATCGGCGGACGCTACCGCAGAGTGCGGCTAATCGGGCGCGGATCGCACGGCACGGTGTGGGAGTGTGAAGACATCCACACGTCCCTCCGCGTCGCCTGCAAATCCATCCCGCACTTGCCGCGCGATTCGACTCACGCGCAAGCTCCGGTGCGCGTTGACGACATCTGCACGGAGGTCTGCGCGTTGAAGAAGGTCGGGGGGCATATTAATATCGTCGGTTTAATCGAGGTAATTGTGGACTCCGCCGAGGCGCACGTGATTATGGAGTTAGCTCCAGGCGGGGATCTCTTAACGGAGCTCATGCGGCGCGGTGCGTTGAGCGAGCCGCTGGCGGCTACAGTGGTGCGGCAGCTCGCATCAGCTGTCGCGTTCTGTCACGCGTGCGGTATCATGCATCGCGACATCAAACCCGACAACGTGCTGCTTGTGCGCCCGCCGCCGCCACCTCCGCCGTCCGCGCGCACGCCGCCAGCGGCAGTGACGCTCGCAGCCGCTTGGGACCACAGCAGCAAAAGCAGTGAGGGTACCAGCAACAGCAATCGCGGGAGCAGCGGCTGTAGCAGCAGCAGCGGCGGCGGCGGCGGCAAGTCGCATCCTAACGGGAGCCACCATTACCACCATCATAATCACCCACCGGGGCACGCGGTTAGGGTTCTCCAGAACCGAACCAACGTCTTCGGGTTGGTAAACTGCCAGAGCACGGGCGCGCTCCCGTCGCGCGGAAAGGATGCTTCCGCCGCGCCTGCTTCCGGGCCTGCCAAGACCGGTTCAACGTCGCTCCCTTCTTCCCCCACTAAATCCAACCTACGTTCCGCTGCCTCCCCCGCTGCCTCCCCCGCTGCCTCCCCCGCTGCCTCCCCTGCTCTCTCGACCTCGAACGCCGCGAGTGCCCCACCTTCCCCACCCGCCTCCCCTTGCACTCCCCCCTCCCCCTTGCGCAACAAGAGCGCGCGACCCTGCATGTCCGCAGGCCCCTCTTGCGGTTCCGCCTTTCCATGCGCTTTTTCCGCGCTCGGCGCGACTTCCGCGCGCGGGGCAAGCGGTGGCGCACGCCTTGGCGGAAGCTTTGGCGCGAGCCGTAGCGCAAGCCTTGGCGGAAGCTCGCCGTTGGGGGAAGATTACGTGGGCGCGGAGCGGCAGATTGTGGGGGTGAAACTCGCGGATTTTGGGGTTTCCGCGATTCTGAAAGGGGGGATGCGCGAGCTCCGCCGCAGCAGGGGCGCAGGGACGCCCGCGTATATGGCGCCGGAAATGGGCTGGCGGAAGCGGGGGGGCGGGCGCGGGGAAGCAGAGGGGGAGATGGGGAACCAGGAGAATGGGGGTGGAAAGGGTCTGAACGCAGGGGTAAATAACCCTAGTTCTTCAGATCTGCCCGAGTACGGCGTGAAGGCGGACGTGTGGAGCCTCGGGGTAACACTGTGCACAATTTTGACTGCCCGGATTCCTTCCCATCCTGTAGACTTTTCAAAACCTGAATGGGAGGGGGTTTCGGCAGACGCAAAGGATCTGGTCCGTCGGATGCTGGTGGTGGACCCGGATCAACGGCTGAGCTCGTTCGAGGTGCTGGAGCATCCGTGGCTGAACCAGACGGCCGTTCGATCGTTGGACCCAGCTGTGCGCTGCCCCCACCTTCTCTCGCCCTCCCTGCCTGGCGAAACCAGTGGTAACCAGGTTACACGGATCGTCTGCGTGTAGCTGCTGTAGCAGGGAGAGCAGCCAAGGGGCTGTGGCAGAAGCAGCCTAAAGGCTGAGCCAGGGCCAACAGCAAAGGGGAGCAGAGGCAACAGTAGAAGCTGGAGCAGAACGGCTTTAAGCGTCAGCAGGACAGCCTATGAGTGTCAACAATACATGGGTTGACGGTTGAACGTCCACCGGACAAACTTTAAGCGTCAGCACCAAGACAGGCTTTGAAGGTCAACCATAGATGCTTTGAAACATCCACTGGACAAATAACTGGGCGAGGGGATGGTGGGTGGGAGTTGTGCGGCAAACCCTAAATCAGCAGCAGTCGCTGAAGCAGAAAGGCATTCGTCAGCAGCAAGACAGGCTTTGAAGGTCAACAGTACATGCTTTGAAACGTCCGCTGGACAAATGACAGGAAGAGTGGGATGGTGGGTGGGAGGGTGGGTGGGTGGTGTGCTGTGCGGCAACTCCTACATCAGCAGCAGTTGCTGAAGCAGAAGGACTTTCAGCGTCGGCAGCAAGACCGGCTTTGAAGGTCAACAGTACATGCTTTGAAACGTCCGCTGGACAAATGACAGTAAGAATGGGATGGTGGGTGGGTTCTGTGTTGTGCGGCAAACCCTACATCAGCAGCAGTTGCTGAAGCAGAAAGGCTTTCAGCGTCAGCAGCAAGACTGGCTTTGTGGGTTGACAGTACATGCGTTGAAATGTCCACTGGACAAATAACTGGGCGAGGGGGTGGTGGGTGGGTGATGTGCAGCAAACCCTAACTCCGGTTGCGGTTTGGTGTACATCACTTCCCCCACCCTCCTCCTTGCTCCAATAACAGGGCGCTCCTTACAAGGGACCTTTTAGTAACAGCCAGGACAGGATTACTGTACCTCTGCTAGTGGACTGCCTACTGTACCTCTGCCCATATCTTACTCCTTGTTTCTTTATTGTGGCGTGCATAGGTGATTGTACTGCAGTTTTGCCCAAGCGGAAAACGAAGATAGATCGTAGGACCAGACATGCAATATGATAATTTTTGAAAGTGTAATGAAATGTAACACTTTCTAAAATTTTGTCTTGCGAAAAGGGGTACGTGGCCAACACAGCAAAGGTAGCACCGAAGCGCTACTCACCCTCTTTTGCCTACAAAAGAGGGACGTGGGGACATTCGTCTCGTCCCCACCCACGTTTTCATTTTCAAAATTGTAGTTCTAATTTCGTTCTCGTCCACACTGGCGAAGACTCAGTCGCTTCCGCGTTTCACTGCCCCGTCAACGCTCCTTAACGACATCCTTAAGCGCAACCTCGCAACGATGGCTCCGGTCAACCCGGCACTTAACCGCGACAATTCGAATAATTCTAGCCCCGGTAACGCGGCGGAAACCTCGACTCCGGCCGTGACAACGGATCGTCGCGGCGGAAAACGTCCCGCCGAGGAAATTTCAAGCGAGGGACCCTCGGCGGTCGACCTCCTGCTCGGAGGCACCCTTCGGACCCCCCTTGAGGAACGCGCGACTGTTGTACAGTCGCGCGTGGCTGCTGCTGAAGAGCGCGTGCCTGGCAGGCGGTCGCTCCCCCCGGTGGGAAACTGCTGACGCCAGGCGTCGGTCAGGCGGCCAAAGCAGCGGCGGGCTGTGTGGGCGCCTCCACACCTCTCCCCTGCACGGTCACCGGTGCGAAGAACGTAGGGGCAGGGACCAAGCGCACCACCACGCTGACGCTGCAAGTACCACTCACGGAGCTGCTGAGGGGCGGGGACGGTGCGAGAGCGCTGCTGCTGCTGTGGCTGCTGCTGCGGCTGCTGCTGCTGCTGCTGCTGGCGCTGACCACCCCCAGAGCTGCTCCGCTGGGACGAGCCACTCCGACCCCCGCCTCCACCGCCACCCCCGCCTCCACCGCCACCCCCGTCTCCACCGCCACCCCCATCTCTTGGCTAGTTGCTTAATAAGCTGGGTGAAGATGAACGGGGCTGTTGCCAGGCCGAAAGGTAAGGATGTGAAGCAATAGAATTTTCCGCCCAATTGAAAGCCCCAAAACTTCCAGCATGATGGGTGGATTTCGACGTGGTGGTAGCCTGACTTGAGATCGATTGTGAACATCCAGTCGTGTGGGCGAATGATTTCCGCGACCCGACTCAAGCCTTCGTACTTGAACTTGGGAACTTGGAGGTGAGCGTTGACCTTCCGCAGGTCAAGGATGAGCCGGCATTTGTCTCGTTGCTCCACAACATTGAGCGGGCTGATGCACGTCAGTGCGGCTTTCGACGAGACATGCATCATGGTGTAGGCTTGGCCTGTATGCCTTTGTGTGGATTAATAAAAGATTGTTGTTATTGAAAAAAAAACAAGAGGCGACGAATTCGTCTTAGGGTTGCGAAGCGTTTTGCGTAATTATATAAATTTGTACAACTTCTAATTCTGTACATAATGCTGTAATATGACACTAAGTGGTACTTCCTCTCACCAGGAAAAGGTTAAATGTACAGCGCGAACGAGATTCGAACCAAGGACCTTTCGATTCCACTCCAAGCCTTGTACCACTGCTACAGCACAGATGTTTACCTAGAACAGCTAAATAACTTAGAAATAAAAACATGCAACGAATCTGAGACTACCTTAGGGTTTGCCGGCCCTTTTTTTCTCCCGCTTTTCCTCGCTCGTCACGCTCTACCAACTTCTCCACCTACTCTAACTGCAACTTAGGTAAGAAGATCCCTCAACTTTAACTCCAACTAAATTAGATGCCTATTAGATAGACTAACATTTAGTCATTCCGTATCCTAGCCGTGTAAATGGATGAGTATTAGCGAGACTTAGTTGTTTAAACTTAGGTTCTCGGCCCTTTGTAAAGATTTCAGGTTCTCCTTCCTGCATAAGCTTGCATCTGTTTCTTCTATTCTTCATCCTTAAACTTTTCCTCTCGTCGGTTGCCTTTTCTTCATATTTGCATGTTTTAGTTCATTTTTTTCTCAACCTCGTCTTAGGTTGTACATAAAGATTGCAATAGGTTGCATGTTCAGTCCATTTCGTTCTCTCTCGCTCGTTCTCTCTCTCCCGTTCTCTCTCTCCCGTTCTCTCTCTCCCGTTCTCTCTCTCCCGTTCTCTCTCGCTCGTTCTCTCTCTCCCATTCTCTCTCCCGTTCTCTCTCGCTCGTTCTCTCTCTCCCGTTCTCTCTCTCCCGTTCTCTCTCTCCCGTTCTCTCTCTCCCGTTCTCTCTCTCCCGTTTTCTCTCTCTCGTTCTCTCTCTCGTTCTCTTTCTCGTTCTCTCTCGTTTTCTTTCTCTCTCGTTCTCTCTCTCTCTCTCTCTCTCTCTCTCTCTCTCTCTCTCTCTCTCTCTCTCTCTCTCTCTCTCTCTCTCGTTCTCTCTCTCTCTCTTTCTTTCTCTCTCTCTCTCTCTCTCTCTCTCTCTCTCTCTCTCTCTCTCTCTCTCTCTCTCTCTCTCTTTTGTTCTCCCTCTCTCTTGTTCCCTCTCTCTCGTTCTCTCTCTCGTTCTCTCTCTCGTTCTCTCTCTCTCTCTCTCTCTCTCTCTCTCTCTCTCTCTCTCTCTCTCTCTCTCTCTCTCTCTCTCTCTCTCTCTCTCTCTCTCTCGTTCCGTCTCTGTCGTTCTCTCGTTCTCTTTTGTCAAATCTCTCGTTCGTTCTCTCTCGTTCGTCCACTCTCTCGTTCTCGCTCTCTCGTCCTCTCTCTCTCTCTCTCTCTCTCTCTCTCTCTCTCTCTCTCTCTCTCTCTCTCTCTCTCTCTCTCTCTCTCTCTCTCTCTCTCTCTCTCTCTCTCTCTCTCTCGCTCTCGCTCTCGCTCTCGGTCTCCGTTGTTCTCGCTCAACGTATTTGTTATATTCTCTTCGTTCGTTTACTGTCTGGTCATGTGTTTTTCCCTTTGTTCTCGTTCTTTACTTTCGTTTTATGCCTTAGTACATTTTCTCCTTGTTATTTGTCAGCTCTAACCCTTCAATGCTCATGGCGTTTTTCTTGGCCCTTGTATTGTTTCATTTGTTTCTTCATTATTCCTTTTTCTTGTAATTTCATTATGCCTTGTTATTTCCCATTTGCCTTCCCTTCCTCAACCCAGCTTTGTCTTACTTTTCAGGCAGTCGAGCTCAATATGAGAAGTAGACTGATATTGCTTGTGACTTACAGTATACGATACATAATGTCTTGGTGATTTAGGTTTCTATTTCATATGCGGTTAATATGCTTTGACAGTTGGCTTCGTGCGTGCGTGTCCGTGTGAATGTGTATGATCATGTGTATGCGTTGTGTTGTGTGCGTATGCGTTTTCATTCATGTTTCCATTGCATTGATAACACATGTCTGTGGGGTTTAAAAATTGGGATCAAACTATCATTTCCGAGAAGGTTCTTTGCGCACTCAGTGAGTGTGTCCATTCGAACTGGATTTGATGGAATTGACCTGTTTTTTATATCACACAGATTGTGTTGTTTCATGTAACAGTTGGATGATTCAGAAATTATGCTATTGAGCTCCCCCCCATGCTAGGCAGGGGATGCGGTAGCATAGGGTCTGCGTCAATTATCTGTTACGCACTTCCATCATGCTGTGCATTTATTTCATTACGGTACCGGTAGTACCGTATATGCATTATACTTATGCATTTGCATTTACTTCATCTACTTATAACAACAGCAGACATATGCATCACGGAATAAACAGTTATGCATTCACAGTACATCATTTTGGCAACTCATGAAATATAGGTTCAGTCAAAGTAAACTAGGAAATGAGAAAGAATGTGGTTCAGCACGTGGTAAATTGACGCGGCAGATACATAGCAGTCAGTCATTTAGCTAGTACCGTTCACTAGATTTTTTCCCTCTATTTTTTAAAGGTATTGAAGATTGAAAAAAAAAATTGTACATAACGATTGTAATAGGTTGCTTCGCAACCCAAAAAAAAAAACGAACAATGGAGAGAGAGAAAGGGAGCCAACACGAAACGAGAAGACAAATGGCACAACAAATAAAACATCAGCCCCCTCTTGAGGAAGGCAGCCACGGAGGAGGAA